GCACTTCTGAAAATCTGACTCCAGTTGTGGGTGAGCAACACTTGAAAATCTGCCCCCTGAGTCTGATGCATTGTTTTTGCCTGGAGAACAAGTTTGACAGGACTATAATGGACCGGGGCTGAGGAACAGAGGCCATACTCTTCATATAATGCATGCTCCAGAACATGACTAGTTCCAGAGCAAGTGTCATCACACCGAACTCACTGATACCATGCTCTGGTTTCCCTGTTGGATCATCTGGTATTGACAGTCCGTAATGTAACCACGTATGTTCACTGACTGATGCTGAAATCCATATCAAAATACTGATCCAAGAAGTAAATACTAATCAAGGTGTAGTTGATGCTAAAGCTGGACGAGCACAAGTCCATGGGGCCGGATGCGCTGCATCCGAGGGTGCTAAAGGAGTTGGCAGATGAGATTGCAGAGCCATTGGCTATTATCTTTGAAAACTTCATGGCAATCGGGGGAGGTCCCAGATGCCTGGAAAAAGGCTAATGTAGTGCCCATCTTTAAAAAAGGGAAGAAGGAGGACCCGGGGAACTACAGGCCGGTCAGCCTCACGTCAGTCCCTGGAAAAACCATCAAGCAGGTCCTCAAGGAATCAATTCTGAAGCACTTAGAGGAGAGGAAAGTGATCAGGAACAGTCAGCATGGATTCACCAAGGGCAAGTCATGCCTGACTAGCCTAATTGCCTTCTATGAGGAGATAACTGGGTCTGTGGATGAGGGGAAAGCAGTGGACGTATTATTCCTTGACTTTAGCAAAGCTTTTGATACGGTCTCCCACAATATTCTTGCCAGCAAGTTAAAGAAGTATGGGCTGGATGAATGGACTGTAAGGTGGATGGAAAGCTGGCTAGATCGTCAGGCTCAACGGGTAGTGAGCAATGGCTCCATGTCTAGCTGGCAGCCGATATCAAGCAGAGTGCCCAAAGGGTCGGTCCTGGGGCTGGTTTTGTTCATTATCTTCATTAATGATCTGGAGGATGGCGTGGATTGCACCCTCAGCAAGTTTGCGATGACACTAAACTGGGAGGAGTGGTAGATACGATGGAGGGTAGGGATAGGATACAGAGAGACCTAGACAAATTAGAGGATTGGGCCAAAAGAAATCTGATGAGGTTCAACAAGGACAAGTGCAGAGTCCTGCACTTAGGAAGGAAGAATCCCATGCACTGCTACAGGCTGGGGACCGAATGGCTAGGCAGCAGTTCTGCAGAAAAGGACCTAGGGGTTACAGTGGATGAGAAGCTGGATATGAGTCAACAGTGTGCCCTTGTTGCCAAGAAGGCGAATGGCATTTTGGGCTGTATAAGTAGGGGCATTGCCAGCAGATCGAGGGACGTGATCGTTCCCCTCTATTCAGCATTGGTGAGGCCTCATCTGGAGTACTGTGTCCAGTTTTGGGCCCCACACTACAAGAAGGATGTGGAAAAATTGGAAAGAGTCCAGCGGAGGGCAACGAAAATGATTAGGGGGCTGGAGCACATGACTTATGAGGAGAGGCTGAGGGAACTGGGATTGTTTAGTCTGCAGAAGAGAAGAATGAGGGGGGATTTGATAGCTGCTTTCAACTACCTGAAGGGAGGTTCCAAAGAGGATGGATCTAGACTGTTCTCAGTGGTGGCAGATGACAGAACAAGGAGTAATGGTCTCAAGTTGCAGTGGGGGAGGTTTAGGTTGGATATTAGGAAACACTATTTCACTAGGAGGGTGGTGAAGCACTGCAATGGGTTACCTAAGGAGGTGGTGGAATCTCCTTCCTTAGGGGGTTTTAAGGTCAGGCTTGACAAAGCCCTGGCTGGGATGATTTAGTTGGGGATTGGTCCTGCTTTGAGCAGGGGGTTGGACTAGATACCTCCTGAGGTCCCCTCCAACCCTGATATTCTATGATTCTAATGCCAGTAATTAAAAACAATGGTTAAAACAGGGCTCGTGTGAGTAGTTTTGAAATTCACGTTGATCAAGCATTTTCTGCCTGGCCTGAATCACTTTATTTTATGTATTGGGTCTGAACCAAAACCTTGGCTCTGAAACCCTTTTCTACCCTCTACTCACTAAAGTTTGACTCTGGGTCTGAACTTGACATACTGGGGACCCATGCCCAGTTATTTCATACAGTGCCTTAGCATTTCCTGTTCTGATTCAAGCTGGGATCTGAGGGCATTGGGGAAGATAAAGGGGAATATTATCAACTGTTTTGGTTCACGTGAAGTCTTTTCATTTCATGTAGGTCTGAGCTTCTAGGTTCAGTCTCGGGGGCCTGGTTTGAACTTTGAGTTCAAACCAACCCAATTTGGCCTGGGTTGGCCTGGAAACTGGCCAGAATCGCAGAACTTCATCTGCAGCAAGATGTCTAATTCTAGGGCCCTGAAGGAGATGTGGGGAAACGTCTCGTGGATGGCAGGGCCCTCTCCCTGGATCTAAAAGGGAGCAGGGGGGCTCCGGGAAGTAGCATCACAAGTGTGCAGAGCTACAGCGGTGCATCTGGATCAGGAGGAGATAAGACAGCGGTGCGAATTCATCCCTCCACTGCAACCACTTTGGCCCCCTACACCAAAGAATATCCCGAGAGCAGGGGCCTTATACACCAGCTGCAGAGCAGACCCAACAAGACGCTGCTAGGGCAGAGGGGACATGGTGAGGTTGTGCTTGTGCCCTGACTATTCTGCAGTAATGCAGTGGCTCTTAGAGAGCTTCCTTCTCCCCTCTGGCGGAACAGTGAGGGTACCCAGTACGGAGAAGGAAAGAACAATACGTTACCACCTATCTGGGAGGTGGAATGCAGTTGGTCAGCTGTCTCTCAAAATCTGAGCAGCACTCTGCTTCTATAGGTCCTGGGCATAGGGGTTTCACAGTTTCTTTGCATTACTTCTTGTCTATTATCTGTGATATGGTTTTGCAAACCTTTTACAAGGCTAGCACGCACCCTGTAGTAAACTTGTAACTAGTTTATTATCTTGTTTAGACCATTGCATTCCAAAAGTCAGCAAAGCCTTAGAGACCTCCTGCGTCAGCTATAGCTTGGTGCATAGGGTATGTTAGCTAAGCATCAGCAAAATTGTTCTTCTTTGGAATGTTTCTGAACACTGAGATTATATTTCACATTTCGCCTGGCTTAAACCATGTCACATAAGTAAAAAGCATTTTGGAGGCGCTTAACTGAGAGCTGTATTTGTTATATAAAACATATGACATTGGCTAACATTCTAAACCTTACCTTTCTCTTATCTGGCTCCATACATATTTTGTAAGACCAGAGTGTCTATAGTAGCAGAATATCTAAAGCTGAGAGAGTTGAATGTATTTCTTATTCTTCTGTTGTATACAGAGAAAGGGTCATGCAAAGGTTGCAGCCCCTAACTAGTACAGTTTTAGTGTTCTAATCCAGTATTCTAAAATATAATTAGGCGTGGAAGGATTCGATTTTTGTCAATAGAATTTGATTTTAGCATTCACACACAAACTGACAAATTTGGCAGTAAGCCCCTTACCTACTTCCCGGGTGGGGATCAGAGAGCCCAGGAGTCCTGGCTCCCAGGCCCTGTGCTCTGACAACTAGATCGTACTTACGGCCTCTGAAATCTGCCATGGTTTTTCTTGACTTTCTCCAGGAGTCCAATAGGGTTTTAAAGGATAATCTGATCTCCAGATTACATTGACCTCTAGTTTCACACCCTACTTGTCTGTGTGAGGTTTTGTGGTTGAGATACAGGGTTGGAGCCAGGACTCCTGGGTTCTGTTCCTAGCTCTGCCACAGACTTACTGAGTCACTTCTTTTTCACCGTCTGATAAACAAGGATAGTGCCGAGTTAGAGACCTTCACAGGGGCCAGGTGAGAACTGTAATTCATCACTTGTTTTGTAGAGCACACAGATCCTGGCAGAAATATTCTTTTCTGGAGCTGTGTTGCCACCTTGTGGCATAAGCCCTGTGACTTTGAGCTAAGGATAATTAAACTACACACAGGTGCCCCACTCAACGGCAGCTTTTCTCCAACTGTTGCAGATCTTCCCTTTGTTCTGCACCAGTTTTGGATCTGAAAAGGAACATGCGTGCGCACACCCCCTAATTTGGGGAAGGAGCATGGGGTGGTGCTGAGAGCAGTGGACGGGGATGGAGGACTCCTGGGTGTTTTATTCCCAGCTCTTGAAATCCTGTCCCTCTACCTTCCCCCCCGCCCCCCGACCGGGGGAGGAGTCTGAACATCCAGCCCTGTGACATCAGGCTGTACGCTCCAGGTTCTAAATTCCACATGGAGCCACGTTCCCCACTAGCTGAGCAGGGAGCTGATCTGGTAACTACTTAGTACTAATCACACACACACACACTCTCTCTCTCTCTTCCCCCCCCGCCAGGGCCCGTGTAGGGCACTGCTGGCTGGGAGCTCTGTCTTGGAGCCAACCATTTGATGCTGGCAGAGCCGGGAACCTGACCACCTGGCACATTCGGGGCCAGTATTTGTTCCGTCCCACCAGCTTGTGCTGTGGTCATGGCAGGCCATGCAAGGAGAGGGGTGGCTGTTCAAGACCCTCAGAACCTTGCCAATAGAAGGGCTCCATGATTAACCCAATGACCGTCCTCGCTCATGTATTTTTGTTAAACTCAGGAGTGCGGGGGCTGGATCTGCAAAGACTTGGTGCCTCAAAACCCCTGCTCAGCTGCTGCCTAACGTCGTTAGCACCTAAATTTCCACTGGTGCGCGTACTTGAATGCTCATTGGGGCAGAGAGAGAGTGTGAGTGACTATAGCCCAGTGGTGAAGAAACTCACCTGGGAGACGTGAGTCCACAGGCAGAACACATGTGGGGTGAGTGTGCTAATAACTGGGCAGCCCCACCCCCTTTTTGTGTGGGTGGACGTGGACTGATCTGTTTTAGGCACCTAAAGTTGGGCGTTGGGATGCTGAGTCGATCTCCTACATGGGTCTAGCCCCAGATCTCCTTATCCTGTACTGACATTCTCTCTGCTCAGGGTTCTGGTCCCCGTACTTCTGTGATGTTTGAGACCGTAGGCATCGGACTTCTCTTGCTGGTTACGTGTGGCTCATGTGAGGATACGGCAGCTGATGACATAGGAGTGCACATGATGGGCCGCATATCTGAGCTGCTTTCCCCGGAGGAATGTCACGAGTTCTACACTCAGATCACCGGCCCTGAGGAGAACATGGAGAAGGAGCTGGAGCGACTCTCCGAGGCGAAGAACCCAATCCGCTCCCGCTACCGGCGAGACATCGTCAGCACAGAACAGTGCAAAGACGTCCTGACCCAGTGGCTCGAGGCGGAAGGAGATGCAGTGTACTGGGACCGTCTCTCCCGAGCTCTCCGCCAGATTGGGCGCCCTGACATCTCCCAGGAGCTGGGCAAGAACTTGAACCAGGACAAGAACCTCGAGCTGAAGAGGAACGTGGAAGAATATCACAAGGGGGTGGAACATCTGACCTCCTCGCTCCTGCTGGAGGAGGATGAGAAATATGGCGAGACAAACCAGCACATCAGAGCTGGGCGAGCAGGTGGGAAATCCCGCAGGGCGAGCGGATCGATGCAGGAAGGCTGGGGTGACATCGACCTCATCATCGAAAGGAAACCACTCCCTCCGTACAACAGGAGCCTCTTTGAATGGCTCAATCCGGTGGCTTCTGGCTTCATCGGAGGGTTTTTAACCTCTTGCGTCCTCATGGCGCTTGCTATTTACTCCTTCCTCTGGACCCTGAACCGAGAATCCCTGGAGACTTCCCATCATAACCCAGGGCCCCGGCCTGAGCGTGCGGCTCACAACCCCTTGTTCGAGGACGACGTCAACTATGCCTTAATTTTAGATGAAGACTTAGGGGACAGTTTGGATGGGGATGCTTCCGATGACACCAGCTTTGAAGGGGAGCCGTAATTTGAACCTGAAACTTTTCCATCTACAGCCCCATGGGGCGCAGCCAATAAAATGCTCCTGTTTATGGAATCGAGCCCAGGAGTTTGGTTTGGTTGATATATAAATGTGTGCAATGGGGTGAGATTGCAAAGTGGCTTCACACTTCAAAGCCTGCTTCCCCCTGCTATTTTCTGAGCCCTTCCAAAGACTTAAATCTTCCTGCTGTAGAGCATGAGCCAGCCACTAGCTAGCTATGGGAGGGAGCCCAAGAGAAACTTCCCTGGGGGAGAGGGCAGGATATTACACATCTGCCCCTGCAGCATTTCTTGCACCTTCTTCTGAAGCATCTCCGAGTGGCTGCGGTGGGAGATGGGACACTGGGCAAGATGGAGCTCCCGTCTCTGAGTCTGGTCATTCTTATGTTTGCAGGTCCTGTACTGTTGTTACTGTATATCCCAGCACTTGTCACAAGATGTCACTGCGCCCTAAGGAATAGGCACCTCAACTATCTCTCTAAAGTCAGCAGCCCAAGGGCTCCAGGTAGGATCAACTTCCCACTCTCCCACCATCACTGTGAGTGACTTACCGGCCTCCTTTGCTGTCTGCAGTCCCAGAGCTCTGTCTCTTTCCAGCGCTGGCAGACCAGGAAAGTCTGTAGTTTCCCTGCCCCTCCCCTGAGCACCGCTGCTGTGCCTCTTGCAGACAGGAAGGAAGGTAACAGGACTCTGCTGCCCACAGTTTTAGAAACAAGGGAGGGACAGTCCATACGTGCGGGATAGGGGAAGATATAGGGGTCAGCTGCAAGGGACAGGGAGCTTTGGTCTCCGAGCTGCCCCTCTCATCTCCCCAAGGGGGGGTTTGCTTTGTGGCAGAGCTGGACAAAAAGGATGAGAGAGAAATGAGGGTTTCCTGCAGGACCAGCTCTTTGCTAAACCTGGGGAGGGAAGGCATGCGGAGCTGTACAGGATTGTTTGATGTAGAGTTTGCCCAGCACATAGGAACGGCTAGACTGGGTCAGACCAAAGGTCCATCTAGCCCAATGTCCTGTCTTCTGACCGTGGCCAACGCCAGGTGTTTCAGAGGGAATGAACAGAACAGGGAATCACCAAGTGATCCATCATCCCCTATTGTCCACTCCCAATTAAGGTTTAGGGACACCCAGAGCATGGAGTTTTGTTCCTCACCATCCTGGCCAATAGGCATTGATGGACCTGTCCTCCACGAACTGATCTAGTTCTTTTCTGAACCTAGTTTTGGCCTTTACAACATGCCCTGGCAACGAGCTCCACATGAATCGCACTGTATTTATCTAACACTTGCTCCTGCCCTGGGCGCCAGTGACACCAATTAAAGCTCATGCGAAATTCCCATGACACTAAAGAGCAGAGGTGGGGGCTGAAATCCCATCCTGATCCCAGCTAGTCCCCAGCTCTAGACTGGCCTTTCCTGCTCTGTCCTCAGGGGACACAGCTGGTGCCTGGATGCCATCAAAGCCAGGCCCTGCTGCTCCAAGCATGAGACAAGGAGCTCTTCTTGAGAAGGTCCCACTACCTCTTGACCTAGCCGTCTAATGTGTCCAGATTGCCTCAGTATTGGATGGGGAGACAGGAGATTTACCCACAGGTATTTGGTACCCAAATCAGCAGGGTTTATTCCCAGCAATGGGCTTCATGCCAAGGAACCCCGTGCTTGATTTGTACCAGGGCTGAGCCCTCGGCACCTCTGGCCTGGCAGTTCAGAGCCCAGGCACCTCAGACTGGGCTTGACCAGGGTCAGGGCAACCCATTAGGCGACCTAGATGGTCTCCTAGGGCACTAGCATTTGGGGGGGGCAGCATTTTGGGTCCTTCGGCAGCGACCGCGATGGCCGGATCTTTGGCCGCCCTGGTCGTCGTCGGCATTTAGGCGGAGGGAGCTGGGGCAGGGGGGCGCGGGGAGGGCCACCTGCAGCAAGTGGGGGGGGCGGCACGCAGGGGAACTCCCCGTCCCAGCTCACCTCTGCGCCGTCTCCTCCCCTGAGCACGCCGCCCCGCTCTGCTTCTCTCCCTCCCAGGCTTGCGGCGCCAAACAGCTGATTGGCGCTGCAAGCCTGGGAGGTGGGAGAAGTGGAGCAGCGACGGCGTGCTCGGGGAGGAGGCGGAGCAGAGGTGAGCTGGGGCGGGGAGCTGCCGCACGGCTCCCTGGGCCGGGGGGAGCTGCCACGGGGGTGTGTGGGGGGGAGCTACCACGGGGGGGGGGCACCTTAGGGCGGGGGGGGGGGAGCGGCCACGGGGCTGGGGGGGGGGGCGAGGCACAAGGGGGGAGTTTCACCTAGGGCACGAAACATCCTTGCACCCGCCCTGTTCCTAACCCCGGCCCCTCTGGACCTGCTGCATCAGTTATGAATGTAAAACATGGCTTGAGCCCCGGCCCCTTTCAAGCCCCGAGAAACCAGTAGAGCCTGATGCACACTGGGGACTTGGCCGGCCCCTTCTATATTAACGCAGGTGTTGCAGCTTCTGTGCCGTTTTCCAGCAAACTGGTTTCCAAGAGACCCAGTTAAGGGTTCTGCTGGAGTTGGCGTGCTGGACAATCGCTCAGGGATGGTGCAGTCCAGGCAGCTCTTAACAGTTGGTGGTTGACTCTGCGCCTTATTTCCCTTCCGCTGTACCAGTCCTGGCTCTTTGCAATCGCTGAAACACGCCATAGAATCTAGGTCCTGAGAGTGTCTTTCTGCCCTGCAGAGAACTGATCTGGAAGGAATTTTACCCTAGTGCATGATGGCAAAGAGCTAGTTCCGTCATCCTGCCTCCCTCTTATGGTATTGATCCGGAGCGATCGGTGACTCCTCCTGAGGGGAGTTTGTGGTGGGAGATTGCTCTGCATCTGAACAGCCTTAGGCTGGGATCATGCCCGTTCCCACATGCTAAGAACAGTCACTTGTGGTCAGTACTTGCGCTGAGAGACACCCAAGAAATCCAGGGGCAGGTAGGAATTAGTATGGGTGATTCAGTAGTAAGAATTCCTTGTGGGTGTTTTTCCTCCCCTCCAGAGCATTGCCTCTGAGGGCTGTGAGCGCATCACTGAAAACTGGCCCTCTGGCTCAATGCCCCACTGTTGCACTAACCGTCCCATGCTACCTTTTGAGCTGGGAGATAAGTAAGGTTGTAAACAGTTGCAGTATTTTTCACACCAATAGTGTGTCTTGGATATGTTCAGAACCCTGGCCTATGGGTAGCTGCATATCTCTCTCTCTCTCTCTCACACCCACACCCACCCCCCCAGGATGCTATAGGAAAGGCTTGTACGTTACTGCCCCCAGGGGCTGCTTGCTTGAACTTATGCTCAGAGCCAAACTGGACTCTGGACCAGACAGGATTTGGGCGGCGCAAAGTCACCTTTACTCTCCCCCGCCCGTCCCCCGGGGCTAAGGCCTTGGTGTTTGTAAAGTGCTTTGAGCGTCTCAGCTACAGATGTGCTAAAAGCCCCACGCGCTTGTCAGGCTCCTGGGGCTCTGATCTAGACTCTGTTCCACGGTGACAAAGCCACCCAAAGAGCTTTGTGCTTTCCCAGCCCCGCCTCCTCCCGCTCACCTTGGCCCTTGCTGGGCAGGCACCTTGTCTTTGTGCCCTTCCAGCTCTCCATCCACTTGCTTACAGAACAGCCACAGAGACCCGTGTGCAGGGAACGCTCGGCTGCTCACGTGAGCGGGCGCATGCTCAGTGGGCTCTGGGGGCAAATTAGGACTGGGCTGATGGAGCCAGATTCCTGGTTGCCCTGCACCATGTGCAACCCTTGTTTCCAGCAGTGCAAGGTGGGTGTGACACGCTGTCCGCTCAGAACGATCGCCTTGTAGTCCCACGTCTCACTGGTGTCAATGACAACACACGGTGCAGGGCACAGAGCCTCAAACCCCTGGGGTCAGAGGGGACCTGCTTTCAGCATGGTGCTAGAGGCCTGGCTGCCGGCTGGTTTATCGCACAGCTGAGGGCAAGTGGCTTTCACTCAGCGGAGTTAAGACTAGAATAAAAAATAGAGAAAGCATCGGGTCATTAACCAGGTGCGTTAGGGAGAGATCACCCCCTTCCCACTCTTCTTTAGCAGTGGAGTGTGAACTCCTTCTGGACGCAGGATGGCGATGGGCCAGGGATCTGATCTGGGATGGCAGGCGAGGACATGAGGCAGGCCAGGTGTAGCAGGCTACATGGGCTGGCGCTTTGACCTGGGCTGGAACAAAGTTATGCATGAATGCAGATGCTTCCAGGCACATTTACTCATCAGCCAGATTTTCAAAAGAGCTGAGCACTCAGTGGCTCTCCTGTAGGCACCTAAATATGCCCAATGGGGCACGGCTGGGAGCAAGCACTTCTGGAAATCCGGCCTTTTGTAGCCACGCTTAGGAGTCTGGGCCTAATGCCGTGAGTGCTCTGCCCAAGCTGTCTGCATTTGGCCCCTCTAAAGACAGTGACTACTTAGAAATTTTAACCCATAGTCTCTCAATGTCTCGTTTGTCTGTGAAATGGACCCGCTCCTATTAGCCTCCTTCCCATAGGGGTTTCATGACTGTCTGCAAAGGGTTTGGGGATCCTCAGGCTAAACCCTCCTGGAACAAGTAGCATCCTTACTCGCCAACCTCCCTGCTCGCTGGCCCTTTTGGCTGGCTGCCCTGACACTCCCCAACCCAACCCCCTGCCCTTTAGACTTGGGTGATTTAGTATCTGATTCAGGGCTCACTTCGAGGCGTCTCTGTGTGTTTGATTCATTGCTGCTTCCCAGAATGCTGACCTCATTGTTTGTGTTCCCAGAACTGTAATGAGACTGGACCTTAGCACTGATTGATCGCCTTTCCCAGGCAGGCAGCTGCAGGAAGGGCCCAACTCCGCAGCTTGGTACAGCCCCAACTCCTGGTTAGCCAGGCACTGGGCAGAGCGATCGTTTGGAGAGTAACATCCAATCCATACAGCTGGTTTGCCTTGGGACTATCTCTGTCCAGTAGCAAATCACTTGGGGTGAGTCTCTGTTTAGACTCCAATCTGCTCAGCA